AGAGAACATAATCAATCTGATTTCAGTATTGCCCATCTGGTGATGTCTCTTGTATTGTTGGAAAAGAGTTTTTGTGGCGACCAGCTTGTTCTCTTGACAAAAATCTATTAGCCTTTCCCCTGCTTCGAAGTTCAAGACCAAACTCCTCAGTTGTTCCTTTTATCTCTCGACGCCCAACTTTAGCATTTCAGTCCCCTATAATGACAAGAATATCTTTCTTTGGTGTCAGTTTTAGAAGGTGTTGTAAATCTTCATAAAACTGATCAATTTCATTCTCCTCAGCATTGGTGGTTGGAGCATAAACTTGGATTACTGTGATGTTGAAAGGTCTGCCTTGGATTCATATTGACATCATTCTATCATTTTTGAGATTATATCCCATTACAGCTTTTCCTACTCTTTTGTTGACTATGAGGGCTACTCCATTCCTTCTACGGGATTCTTGCCCACAATAGTAGATATGATAATCATCTGAATTGAATTTGCATATTCCCGTCCATTTTAACTCACTGATGCCCAGGATGTCAATGTTTATTCTTCCCATCTCCTCTTTGACCACATCCAAGTTATCAAGGTTCATAGATCTTACATTCCAGGTTCCTATGCAGTATTTTTCTTTGCAGCATCGGACTTTCCTTTCACTTCCAGGCGTGTCCACAGCTAAGCGTCCTTTCGGCTCTTCCTCAGTAGAATGTTGGACGCCTTTTGACCTGAGGGGCTCATCTTCCAGCGTCGCATCTTTTAGCCTTTTGTTTCTGTCCATGGAGTTTTCTTGGCAAAGATACGGGAGTGGCTTGTCAGCTCCTGCTCTAGGCGGATCATGTTGAGTCAGAACTCTCCACTATGACCTGTCTGTCTTGGGTGTCCCTGCACAGCATAGCCCATAGTTTCTCTGAATTACTCAACCCCCTTCGCCACAACAAGGCAGCAGTCCATGAATGGGCAAAATGAGCATAGTTTATGGCAATCTAGAGTTTGTGATTTCCTTCCTCCATCTGGAGGCCATGTCATACTTAGATATTGCACTTCTAGGTTAGGACATAAGTCTGTGCTGTAATGGCATTACATTTACTCTCTTCAATTTATAGAGGGGGGCATCTTAAAAGCAGCAATGAAGGCTCATGTTCTGCTAAAAGAGCCGTTTCACTGCTATAGCTTCATAGGACAACTGCCAAAACATCACTACAAGCCAAAGTGACTGAGTCATTTTAATAATAGTCAGAATTTTGTTCTAACCTCAGAGACTGTATGGTTCTTCAGCTTCCAGATACGGGTGGCTTCGGCTTTCTCTTTCTGATTCAGCTGCCGAGGACTGGGCAGAGTTCCAGAATTCCTAGCTGTAATAAATGTGGTTGCTAACTGCCAGAGGCGAAACTGCCATCTTTCTACCCCAGGGATTGCATCAGCTGAGTGAAAAATGGTAGAACAGAAAGAGAGACGTTTTCATTAGTACAAATTTAAAAAAACAAACAAACAACCTTGTCAGAGGGAGAAAGTTGAGAAAAAGCACTACCCCTTGTAATGAGGCATCATTTAGCAATTTGGTATACAAAAACATTTCAAAACACAACTCATTACACTGAGTTCAATCATCATCATCATCATTCTTTATTATAGTCACAGACCAGAAAGATTATAAGAAAACAAAACAAAAAAGAAAAACTCCTATATGTAGTATATGAATCCTTCTTTCAAGGTGATTGCAAAATTTTCTCTCTAGTTCTCACAGCAATCAATAAAATTTAGACACCCTAAAAGTAATAAAGTGGTGCCTCGCTAGACGATGATAATCCGTTTCACTGAAATCGCTGTTTAGCTAAATCATTGTCTAGCAAAAAGCATTTCCCCATTGGAATGCATTGAAACCTGTTTAATGCGTTCCGATGGGGAAGAATCGTCGTTGTCTAGCGAAGATCGGCCATAGGATAGCTGCTTTGTGAACCGCCAATCAGCTGTTTAAATCGCTGTCTTGCGAAGCTTAGGTCCTGAAAACATCTGTTTTGCGAGCGCGGAGGGAGCTGTCAAAATTGTCATCCAGCGAAAATTGGTTTGCAAAGCAGGGACCAGACATTGTCCAGCGAAATTCCCGCATGAGAATCACTGTTTTGAGAATCCCTATAGCGATCGCAAAAAGTCAATGTCTAGCGAAAAAACTGTCATGTGGGGTAACCGTCTAGCAAGGCACTATTGTATAAGTGGAGGCACCCTCTTAACAGGAGAAAATTGGTTTGCAAAGCAGGGACCAGACATTGTCCAGCGAAATTCCCCCATGAGAATCACTGTTTTGCGAATCACTATAGCGATCGCAAAAAGTCAATGTCTAGCGAAAAAACTGTCATGTGGGGTAACCGTCTAGCAAGGCACTATTGTATAAGTGGAGGCACCCTCTTAACAGGACAGTAACAAATCTGTGGGGCTACTGGAAAGAGGAGAGTGCAAAAAGGGTCTGAAGCTCAACATCAAAAAAACTAAGATGGACTTCTGGCTTGACGCCGCGATGAGACAGCAGCAGCAGGACAGAGCTCTGTCCCCTGGGCTGAAATTCTGACCTGCTTGGGACACCATATGGTGACGGAACCACCCCAGAGAGGTGGTGAACTGGGGGGGGGGAGCCTGATGATCACGGGGGAGACGGCGGTCATCCCCATTCGATCCAGGAAACTCCCTAATCAGCCAACGGGCAAAAACAAGCAAATCTTTGCTTGCAAGTCGCTGGCAGCCGACTAATAAGAAACAACAATCAAGCGATACAACATCAACGTTACTACGGGTGAGATAACTAATTGCTTGTGATTATCCCTGGACAATACAATTCCTATATATAGGAAAAAGAACCTTCTATCACTCTCATGAATCATTAGCGGCAGTTAATCTGGAGAGAGGATAGTTGATATGAAAAA